TATGAGGGACAACTCACAGATTGGGAAACTGAGATTTGGAGGTTAAATACATTTTTCAATGTGGAAAAGAAAAGATTATCATGGGCTTATCCTCAGTTAACAATTTAGGGGGGAAAGAAGAGAGAGGTATTATTGGTGAGGGGAAAGAAAATAGTTCCAGGAAATGTTATGTAGAAACATGAAGACTAACCTCATGCATAATGATTTAAAATTGCAGTATGGGAACATAAGCACTGAAATGAGGCATGTAAGGAGCCTCATTTCACTAAAACTGAAAACTGGCTCAACAGAGGCCCAACAAGTAGGATGATGTGTGACATTAAGTGAAGCAAAGGCTTAATGAGCCTCACTCTCTGACTTGAGGGTGGCATGTACAAGTCTATTATTAAAAACAATGTCACCTCAGATTCTCTAGGAGGCAGGGAGTCCATGAGCAGATTTTTATTAGAAAAGAAAATACATACACACCCCTAAGAGATATATATATATATATATATATATATATATATATATATATTATATATATATTATATATAATATTTATTTAACATAAATATTAAAAAGATCTATTTCTATTTAAAACATTGAGACCATGCACAGAAAAATAAAATATTTTATAAAATAATTTTTAATGTAGAATATTTCTTATGTCGTGCAAGAATATCCACTGAGAAAAAAAGACTTAATTTCATTTTATAAATAGCTATGGATTAGAATATAACAATAGTTCTAACTCTGCTATTGCTGTGCGTTTAAAGCCAAGATGATGACTGTATTGAAAAAGAGGGAAGGGAAAATCAATGGATTATTGCTTCAGTGAAGCTCACAGCAGCGCTGATTCGAGAACACAGACAGATGGCACGATAGGAAAGTAACTGTAAACCGGGTATGGATTTAAGCCTCGGTTAAGACCGTTCCTACCTGCATTGTACCTTTAGAAAACACGCATTGAACTTACAACCGCAAATTAAATCTATTCGACCACAAAATTTCATACATAAGAAGTCGCATTTATTAATGATCTGGAAGAGGGAGTAAATAGCATGTTAATGAAATTTGCAAATTTACTACATTGGAAGGTGTTACAAAAAAAAAACAGACAGGGGTTTAATACAAAGGAACCTAAAAGTTGGGGGAAAGCCAATGGGGGCCCCGCCCCCTCCCCCCGAAAAAAAAGCAAATAAAAACTTATAAAAATATTCGTTGGAAAAAGTTCAACTTGAGAAAAAAATAATACAAGAGAAGTATGGCTGCAAAAGTGACTCTAAAATTTGATCAGGGTTTTCTGATTATAATAGACTAGTTAACTCACTCTTGAGAGGGCCTGGGCCCGCTGCTGGGAAGTAGTCATTGCTTTCTTTGCTCTGCTGTCCTCTCTCTAGGCAGACCAGAGGAACCACATTGCTTAGTTGTAGACCTTTTGGAGGCAAGCAAAATTAAGAAAACATAGAGACCAGGCAAATCAGTTAACAGAAGAAAACCAAAAAACTACATTGAAGCAAAAAGAATGACAGTGAAGACACAGCGATACGTATGGGTGTTATCTACTGGAGTGTTTACAATGAAGAGGAGCTGCGAGTGTAAAACTCTTAGCTCAGTGCATGGCATATGAGAAGTTAGTAAATATTAGCAATCACAATTATTATCTTATTATTATCATTATTATTATTATTACTACTGCTACTAGTGTTAGTACAACCGTGAGACAAGTCCTTCCTGGCAACGTCTTTACTCAGATACTGAAGGGATTTATTCCTTGAACTTGTTCAATGCTCTTGGGCCTTTGTACTGGTTGTTCTTGTTATAGTCCCTTTCCCTCCTTTTTGTCCAGCAAATTTTCTTCATTCCTCTCGTAGGGACTTAGCAATTCTTTGTCTTGGAAGCCTTCATGGACCTCCCCAAACGGTCAGGTGCCCTGGTGTGAGCCCCCATCGTTGCCTCTTTAAGAGCACATCGCAGCATAATGGCTTGTGTCTTTTCTGGCTCTTCCATTTCACTCTGAAAACTCTGTGATAATAGGGACCACACCTGAGTAACTGTTATAATCACAAAGCTCAGCCAGTGTGCCTGCCATTCAGTAAATGTTTGTTGAATACAATTCGCCGAAGTCCCCAATCTCTCTTCTTGCCCTGCTGCTCCTTTCATAGCCTAGATCACCTAAGTACATTTGGTACCCGACATATTCTTGTGCATTCTCTGAGTCCTCAGGTTAGATGTGCAAACTAAGCTCAAACAATGACCTGATCTTCATTTGCGATTTTAAGGAAATGGCTACCTATCGTAAAAGACATTTGAGTGTGTGCCTAATTTCCCAGGGACTCAGACTGTAGCGGGAGATAAAGCACCACCCCTTGTATGAGCAGTCGCCAATGCTTAGCTATGATCCAGACACAGACTACCCATAATCTAAGGTGGAGAACGGAGATGGCCAGGGAGAACGCTCTGGGTACCAGCTCTCATCACAGCTCTTATCACGGGAAGGGGAGGAAAGCTACACAGGACACTTTCCTTTTAAGTTACCTTTCCTTCTTTCCTTAATAGAATTTATGTCTGCACTTCGCTGATCTACTGATAGCTGGTGGCACTTCCAGAATTTCTATTTAAGAGGAACTCATGGACAACAATCTCATTGGATGAAAGGAGGCTAGGAGACTTTCTCTTTAAGGTAAATTTGCATAGCAAATACACTGTTTTCAGTGTCATTGCATGTTTATTTAGGAGGGTGTTCTTGGGTACAAGTGGGTGCTAAGGACTCCCGATCCACCCCACTCCTGAGAGTACATCTATTTTTAGTATAGCGACTAAAATAAAGAAAAAGGAAGGCTTGATAAGAGACTATTTTGCGATTTACGTTTATAAACCTGTAAGGGTGAAAACTAACCATTATGCTTCCAAAAAGATTTGAAAGTTTGAAAAAGTCAGCCATAGGAATAAGCACTAGACTACAGTTATTAGGTTCTTTTCCCTAAAGAGATCAGTATAGTCATAAGGAAACAGGCAACTTGACCAAAGAAGAGTCATACTAGAGGCAATCAGTTCATCACACAATTATGTATATACTCCAGCTATGGACACAAACAATAAAATATAAGTTATGACCTCAAGATGCTGGCAACATAATTGGGAATACAAGAGAATGTCTACCGGATGATCATTTAGGCATGTCTGTGAGACTCCTCCTTACTGTTCACTGTTCCTGCTGGTTATTCTCTTAGCCAGTTATAAGGGGGGGGGGGGGGGCGGGGGGGATAGAATGAAGAAAAAATGGATAGGAGGGAAGGGTCATGTGGCTAAACATATTGACTCCTAAGGCATGTGCTCCGAATTTAAAGCAATACATTCATAGTTTTAAAGCTGGAACCTGTAGCTAACATCTAATTGGGCCTTCTTGTTGTGCAGAGGAGAAAACTGAGGCCTGCCTAGCAAAGTATCCAGCTGGTAAGTGCCAGGATTAAGACCTGGAGCCAGGTTCTCTGATCCCCAATCGAATGTCCTCTCCACCACAATGTAGTTAGTGCCTCTGAAGATCAGGTAAAATGACTGCCTTATGCCTGGGCCTATGCTAAAGAGCCTTAGTTTTCTCTTACTGTTTAGATGGTCTTTAGAATTATTTGATGAGGAATTCTTTTTTTTTGGAATGACAATTTTCATCGAGCCTAATTTCTCAGTTACCGAAGTAGAATCCATCCATGCTATAAATTTCTCGTCAAAGGGGAAATCCACTGAATCTGAATAACAGACTAGAAAGCTGTTTTTTGACCTGTATTTACCCATCCCTCCACTTTCATATCTAACTAAATGAATGATTTACAATATTTCCCTCCTGACCTCTTTTCTGTATCTCAGCTTCCTATTTCAACTGCTGCTTCTTTACCTGTTTTTCGTCCCATGACCTCAGCTCAACAGGGAGCCAGCTTCTCCTCCACTATCCCTATTTCTGTCAATGACACCATCCTGTGCCCATCACCCAGGTCTGAAATCCTGGCATCATCTCTGACTCTTCCCTTCCCCTCTTCTACATCTAGTCGGTCACCAACTTCTGTGGCCTCTTCCTGAAGCATGTCTCTCGATTCCACTGCTTTTCTAATTCCATTTTGCGCACTCTTACTCAAGCCCTCGGAGTCCCATTCCCAGGGGGGGACAATACTTACCACTCACGCTGCTTCCCATTTTGTCCTGACAACTCATCCTACAACTCCCGTGGACTGCTCTTTCTCTAAATCACCATGAAAATAAAAAGACAAAGACCTATTCAACCCCTTTGATGCTCCCTTTCCACATTCCCCAGTGTCCATAGATGATAAAGTCCAAAACACCCCCCGCCGCCCCCCCCCCTGAACATGTTGCCATACTTTTGCAACATCGTCTCACCTTTCCTCCACAGAAGCATCCTTCCCAATCCACAGTTACTTTCCCTCCCCGCTATCTATTTCCTCCTTCTGCTGACACCTGGCAGGGGCGCGCATGTCCTCATCTGAACTCAGCTTTGTTCAAGTCACCAACCTGGGCACAGAGCATGCCCCCTCCTCAAAATTCCGCAGGCATCTACTACAGTTCCCCTGAGGCAGCCTGCAGCCCAACTCCTGTAAATATCTCTGCAGGCCTGTCCCCTTCCTAACTAGATCAGGGAGATCTGCAGGGATGGAAGCAACCCCCCAACTTTGTACTGTTTGTGGATAAGGACTGGCTAGACAGGACAGATGGTGGTAACTTGTTAAAAAAGACGTGAAGGTACAAAGGGAAGAAGAGGCACCGCCCCGGCGACAGGGCAGGTGGCAGGTGCCCCCGCCGAGCGCCCCGGGGTCCCAGGAGGGCGCCCCTGGGGATGCAGGCGGGATCGGAGCGCCGCCCCACGCCCGGGCCCCGGGGGCGAGTCTGAGCTGCCGGCGGGGCGGCCGGGCTGGCGGCGGCGCTGGGAGGCCCGGCCGTTCCGCGCTCGGAGGTAGGTGGTGCTGTTGCCGGCACTGTCCGTCTCATTGGCGCGGGGAGCAGAGGCGGAATGTTCAACTCCTGACTCCGGCGGAAGCGTGGGAGCCGCGCGGGCCGCCGTCCTCTCCACCCCCGGTCGCCGCCCCTGCCCTCGGCTCGCGGGGCCCCGGCGCCCCGGCTGCTGCTCGCGTCCGGCCGGGAGCCAGGTAAGGACCGGGCGGAGGCCAGGGAGGGCGACGGTGCGAGGGAGGCCCGCGCGCTCGCGAGTCGTCCCGACGCTCCGGGCCGCGGCCCAGCCGGGAGCCTGGCCGGCGTGCGGGGGCCCCCCCAACCCCCCGACCCGGAGCCCGCCCGGGCGGCGGCCGCGGGAGCAAGCGTCCCGGCTCCCGTGGGCTCGGCGCCGGACCCCGCCGCGGCCCGGTCGGAGCGGCTCGGGAAGTTCGGGCGCGTCCCACGCAGAAGTTGGCGCGGGGAGAGCGGGGCGCAGCCCGGGCCGTGGCCCTCCGCACCGATCGGGTGGCGCCGGCGCGCAGGCCTCGCGGGGGGTGCGCCGGGCACCTCTCCTCTCGGGAAGCGAAACTCGTGTCTCCCGAATCCGGGCCGGGTGCCGCCGCGCTCCCGCGGAGCCTGCGCGGGCGAGGGGAGACCGCGAACCGGGGCTTCTCCGCCGGGCGGGGCGCGAGGTCTCCCACTCGGGGCAGCCGCTTCCTTCCCTGCGGGAGCCTGCGCCCACCCGCACCCTCCAGCGCCCTCTTCTCCTTCCACGGGAGCTGAGGGTCACCCGGTGGCGTCCCGGGTTCGTGGGCTCTGGGCACAGCGCCGAGGCCCCGCCACGCCTGGCTGGCCCCTGACCTGACGGCTTGCAGAGCAACTTTAATACAGAACTGGCCAGGGGACACCGAGCTGCCCCAGGAAAAAGGGCGATCGTTGTCAGAGTGCTGGAAACCTGTGTTTCTCATGCGCCTCGAGATCTTGCGTAAGCACTATTTACGGAGAACTTAATTACTATTTTTGTTAGTTTCTTTAATAACGAAAGCAACACACTTTAGTGGCATATTCCAGATGATACTACAGTAAGCCGCGCTCAGCGATGATGGTGTGTTAAAATCAACTTACAGGATTAATTCGAAGACACCGGAGCTAAGGTGGCTGTAAAGTATATTCTTATTGTACCCCTAAAACCTTTTTGCTTTTCTGAGCTCAGTTGGGTTGAACAGCCAGGATTCCGTGGATCCAAACCTACCAACCCATTTAAAGACAAAAATAGAAAAAGCGATTCAAGACAGTTAACGTCTTCTTTGGTAGTAGGACCTTCTCCACAGTGAAATTTCATGGTTTTGATTTTCAAAAAAAATATGTGACGGCTGCATTTTGATTATGGTTTTGGTCATGTGTAGGGCCTTTGTTTTCAATTCCTACTACAATAGGGAGAGATTTGGGAGATTGTAAATGAATATGAATTTGTTTTGTTTGGAAAGAGGGAATTAAGATAAAGAAAAATGGTCTTTTGAGCAATGTGCACTGTTTATTTTAATCTTAAACAATTTAGTTCCTATGATAACTTGTTTTGGAATTGTTTTGGGAGGTGTTTTTCTCTTCTTTTCTTTTTTTTTTTTTTTTTTTTACTGGAAGATATTGTTTAAATCAAAAGTTTTAGTGCTAATAATTCCAGAGTAAATGACCATAATCTGACACTTTGGGGGTGCGGGGGGGGGGGGGGTGCGGGGTCCAGAAAAACAAATAGGTGGTTGATCTTTTTTCCTTACCCTTTCAGGGAACACGTAAGAGCACATTGGAGGAGAGATGGATAGAGTGAGAGAGGGAGAGAATGAGAGAGAGAGAGACAGGGAAATAACCAAATATTAAGCATGATGATTTGGATCTAAAAATGGATGGTCAAAGATCTTGGGAACTAAGGGACCTTCTTGCCAAATAAGGACACTTGGCAGGCTGCACTGTGTATTTTAAGTTAGCACAAGAGTGAGTGCTATTGGCAATATATTGGCTGAGTGCCTATCTGGATCGAGTAGTGTGAATCTGACTCTGATAGGGCTACGCAATTATAAACAGAGTTATGAGGGGCGTGGAGTGAATAATCTAGTCATCAGAGAAAACACTGGCCAGATCGCAGTGATGTTTTGTGAAAAGAGGTTAGATGTAGAGTGAAGCTATTAGTGTGGAGTGAAAGAGAAAAATGGACAGTTGATTTTAGAAATTGATAGATTCAGAGAAAAGAGAGGAGAAAATCAATAATTTGAAAAAGGTATTTGTGGTGATATAGTACTTCTTAGAATAAGACAGCCTTATGCTTGTATCCAGAGATGTTGGCAATAAAAATCAATTTGGCACTAAACGGTTTGGCTCAGTGGATAGAGCATCAGCCTGCGGACTGAAAGGTCCCGGGTTCGATTCTAGTCAAGGGCACATGCCTGGATTGCCGGCTCCATCCCCAGTGGGGTGTGTGTAGGAGGCAGCCAATCAGTGATCCACTTTCATCATTGATGTTTCTCTCTCTCTCTCTCTCTCTCTCTCTCTCTCTCTCTCTCTCTCCCCACTTCCTTTCTCTTCCTCTCTGAAATCAATAAAAATATATTTTAAAAAATCAATCTGGATCATTTGTTTTCAATTTTATTTTACCCAGGACAGATTGATAGGGAGGGTGTCGTTTACTACTGCAGGGAAGATTAGGCTGCATCTTTTGTGGCTATTAACCTTGCCCTGCTGCACACAAATAAGCAGAGTTCCAGCTGTGAACAGAGATGTGCACCTGTTAAGGAAGGAGAGCTGTAAATACTAGAGCTTAGATTGGGTTGACTGATACAGGGTGCTTTTGTGTCAGACCCTCCCACAGACAGCTCAAGCATCGATTATGCCCTAATAGCAGCTAAATAATCCCAGCACAGTAGACAATTCTGTGAGGACAAAGCAGCCACACATTTGACACCCTAACCCCAGCATCACGATTGCTAATAGGAAGTGAAAGCCTCAGATTGAACTGTACGTGGATGGTAAGCAATCCAGTAATTACTGTAATAAGAAAAGGATTTGTTTAAAGTGTGTGTGGTGGTGGGGGTGGTGGGGAGGGCAAATTAGAAGGAGGAAGAAGAATATCGTGGAAAAAGACTTATGGTATGGTGGGGGAAATGGTATTACTTTGGAGTCAGACTTGAGTTTGAATCCCAGTTGTGTTAGCTTTAAGTTAGGTAGTTGGCTGGGGCAACTTTCATACCCTTGACAATCAGTTTCCCCACATGTAAGCTGGGGACAGTGATGCCTTGCTTTATGCGACAGCGCATGGAAATGCTTGGACCAGTGTCTGAAACTTCAGCTGCCATAACTGAATAATAGAGAAGGGTGCTTTTTCACATTCTCAAGTTATACCCAGAGAAAGCTGCCTGTCTCACCCATCCCCAACCAAGGCTTGCCCTTGGTAGCCTGCTCTGTTCCCAGATCATGGTTACATGTGTCTGTAGGGCTAGATGGTTTTCATAGCTACTCTCCTGCTTTTAGTATAAGGATTTCTAAAGCAGCTTTGTGAACCTCTGTGTTTATATACAGTTTTGTAATGCTTTCAGGGGAGAATTGGAAAATTCATGCATTTAAATATCTATATGAGAAGCTTGAAGAATTTGGGTGGTTGCATGAAGAGGGGAAGGTTATGACCTGGAGACCAAAACCAAAATCATTTTATAGCTGATTTTGAGCACAGTTTATCTCTAGGGACCAACATCCTTCTTCCTGGACTTATCTCTGGACTTCCATCCGGGAAAACCAAAGAGAGGAGGCAAGAATTGCTGTCTAAAGATCATGGAGTAATATTTCTCATTAAAGTGTCCTACTGTGGGGAAGAATGCGTTCCTTCAGGATTTGTAATTGTAGGCGTAAATACCCCAATGGAAGCAAGCACTTTCTTTAAAATCGTGTATTTAATCATGAAAATGCACGTGACTTTTGCATTCTCCTCTGTGTTGTTTGACTTTCTTGCACAAGACAACACAGATACTAAGCATGTTTGTTCCCCCAGATCGTAAAGTAAAATCGATGCTGTCGATGTGTGTTTATTCATTCACCATCTGCTCAGTGCTGGGCACCCACCTGTGGGAATACCCACATTTGAGGAGTGCGGCCCGGTTCTGATCATTGGTGCTGCGCCACCAAGCTTCACAGCTCAGCCCAATGCCTGGGGTAATGCAAATCCATTTTGCTAAGAAAAGGATAGGGTGGATCATCGTCCAAAGAGTTCCTTTTTCTGTGGCTTTCAAGGAGAAAGAGCTCTTTGCCTTGAAGGTGGAGGGGAGCGGGGAGAGGACGGTTGTAGGATAGAAACCTGGCAGGAGGCTCTCACCTTCCCGGCCAGTTTGGGAGGAGACATGTAGGAGGATAACCCAGTCATCTCCATTGTTCCCATCACTGGCGCTAATCACTGTGGTTCATGACTATCCCTGAGAAGAGAAGGGAGACCACTCATACTGTATAGTAGGTTAATTAGCCATTGCTTACTCCGAGGGTTGGAGTAGGCCTTAAAAAACCATTCATTCTGCTAACTGTTTGCTCAGTGCTTAGAGCGCCGGCCTCCGGACTGAAGGGTCCCAGGTTCGATTCCGGTCAAGGGCATGTACCTTGGTTGTGGGCACATCCCCAGTCGGGGGCGTGCAGGAGGCAGCTGATCGATGTTTCTCGCTTCGACGTTTCTAACTCCCTATCCCTCTCGCTTCTTCTCTGTAAAATCAATAAAATATATATATATTTTTTTTTAAAAAAAAAAACACCATTCATCCTGCTCTCGCAGCTGATGTGGGAGTCTCCTACTGTACATGCCCACCTCCCACTGAACACTGTCAGTGATGGGGAACTCACTACTTAACAGGGGGCATCTTTTCTTGATAGGCAACTCTAATAACCAGCAATTCTTTCTGTAACCTTTTCAACATAAAACTTTTCCTCTGGATCGGTGATGCATAATTTAGGATCTTTCTTTGTTCTTCTCTAGTTTTAACACCCCCATTTCCTTTCATTTTATATCAAGGTCACTGGGTTTTAACCCTCATATTGACCCGCCTCAGGGAACATTCATTCTAGGCAATTAGTCCAAAAATTATAACTCTGTTAGCAGTAGCCAGGATGGTCAGATGCTTTCTATTTGACAGAAAACCAGGTTCAAGGGTAGAAACAAAAGCTGAGTAGCAGCAGGGAAGTGTGGGCCTGC